CAACAGGTCTTGCTGCGCGAAAAGAGGGGGTCAGGACAGCGCTGGGGAGCAGAGTAGGGACAGGTGGAGCCCCAGCACCTCCTCCCATACCTCGGCTGTGGGGAAGAGGGGCAGTGCATACTGGATGAGACCCTGGGTCTGGATCTGCATCGTGGTGAGCGAGCGCTGGAAGACGGTGAGAACCTGCGAGGGGGAGCGGGAACAGTCACAGACCCCTCCAGCCCTGGGACCCCCCCAGCTCTGGGAACCCGCAGCCCCAGGCAGCCCCAAGCAGGGTGCCTGGTCCCCCTGTACCTGCTGGAAGGGGTTGCTCAGGCTCTGGTCACAGTACAGGTAATAGTGAGCCACTGCTGCAAAGCCAAGGGGACACATTGGTAGGAGCGTCCCGGGGGACAGGGAGCAGAGTGGGGGGAGAATGGCACAGGGGGGCACTGGACGCCCAGGCAGGTTTTGGGGTCCTGCCCCAGTGTGGCTCCACCTGGGAGCTGGCTCTGACCTGCGCTGATCTCGTCATCTGTCTGGTTCAGGATGAACTTGTCTGGGGCCACGCAGAAGTCGCTGGTGCCCTGTGGGGACCAGAGGGACATCGAGGGGCTGGGAGGGACGGGACGGTGCCCGCAGCCTTTGGCACAGCCCCGGCACGGCCAGAACCAGCCCTGCCCTCCCCTCCTGCCCCACTCACCACCGCTGCCATCGTGTCCACGGCCATGGAGGCCCAGCTGAGGACGAGGGTCAGCAGCCCACAGCACAACATCCTGCGTGGAGAGCGGGGAGCACGAGGAGGGAGCACACGTGTGTGTGGGGCCCACCCCAACCCCCCTCAGTCCCCCCATCCCACCCACAGGGTACTCACGTGGCCAGGAGGCAGCGGGAGCGCTTGGCCAGCCCCAGGCAGGCCAGCAGGCAGACGGTGAGGACGAGGATGAAGAAGAGGAGGTAGGCCAGCCACCTGGGTGCAGAGGAAGGTCCATCACCCGTGCCCACCCCCCAGCCCTGCCAGGGCCGCTCTCCACACGGTGCCAAGGCCCCACTCACCGATAGTACTCCACGAAGGCGACGTTGGCTGACAGCGCGGTGAGGTCGGCGCTGACGCCCCCCCAGCCCGGCAGCCCCTGCAGCTGCAGGACGATGCTCCCGGCCAGCTGCTCCACCAGCTTGAGGGTCTGCACGTAATCCCCCCGCGGGGCCAGCACCTCGTTCAGCCGCGCCAGGTGCTGCTCCAGCCCCCCCTGCATCTGCAGCGTGGTGCCTGCAACCTGGCAGAGGTGGCATGGTCAGACCCCCGGGATAATCATCCCCCCAGGACACCACCCAGGGCTTCCCTGCCATCAGCTGCACACCTGCAGGAGTCATTTTGCCCCATTCGTGGGATGCTCCTCCTCCAGGAGAGCAGCCCCACCTCAATGACCCCCCGAGCCCAAGATGGATCCATCCTCCAGGACAGCCCTGCCATGGCCTCCCCAGCCCTTCCCACTCTGCCACAAAGGTCCCATTCTGGGGGGTGACGTCACCCTCCCGCACTCAGCACAGCACGGCTGCCCTGGGGGCTCGGCTGGAGCAGCCGGACATCCCTCCAGCTCCCTCCCCAGTGCTCCAACCAAACCCAGCATGGGATTGTCCCCACTGGGGGACCCTGCCCGTGGTCCTACCAGCGAGTCGATGCCGGTGAGGGTCTGGTTGGCGTGGTCCAGGGCGTAGAGCAGCTGGAACACCCCGTCGTTGGTCTCGCTGTTCCCGTAGAAGCCGATGCCGACAGCAGCGCTGGGGGCAGGGGGGGACATGGTTAGAGGGGAGGGACACGCTGAGTACAGACTCACCCTGGGACACCAGCTGGACAGGGGACAATCCCTGGAGCATCCCGGGTGTGGGGGACCCCTCAGCCAAGGCAGGGCAGAGCCAAAGGGACGGCACAGGGACCTGCTCCTGGCGGTGCCCGGGGACACCCGGAGCTGCTCCACAGGCACACGGAGGGGCTGAAGCTCCTGCTGCCAAACCCCGGGAGACTGAGCTGGAGGGGCTGGGCCAAGCAGGTTAGGGGAATCCGCTGGAAGCGCCGTGCTTCCTGATTAAACCTGCTGGGAGCACATGGAGGCCGCTCCAGGCCCCCGGGCAAGCTCTCCACGGTCCCTGCAGTGTTCCCAAATGGAGCTGGGCTGAAAGTCACAGCTGGACCCAAGGAAGGGGGTGCCCCTGGCCGTGTCCTGGCCGGGCACGTGCCCACACATGGCTGGCTCATGCAGGGCTGCTCCCTCCCTGTGCAGACACCAGCCAATTGGCCACCATTAGCCCCTTAATGGCCACTAACAGGCCGTTAGGGGGGTTCAAAGCCCTCGGGAGCTGCAGAGAAACCCCCCTGCCACAGCAGGGGTGTGAGGGGGGAGCGTGCTGAGGTCATTAGAGCCGTTTCCCTGTTCCCCTGTTTTCCTGCTCCGTGGCAGCCATCTCGCCCCGCCCCGGCAAACCAGCCCCTTTGTCTGCAGAGAGGGTCGTGGTCAGGCAGCCAAACAGCCCCCATGGCCCATCCTGTCCCCCACGAGTCCAGGAGTGCCCAGGGGGGCACGGGATGGCTGCTGGGCAGTCCTTCTGGCCGGGGGCTGCCCCAAACTGGGGTGGGCTCAGAAAGCCTGTGGAGCGGCGCTGAGAGAAGAAGTGTCCCCTTGTCTAATTGCTGTGGTGGCAGTTAAGGCCGGGCACACGGGACCTGCCAGCTGGGTCAGGCTGCCATCCGCCATCTGCTCGGGGCTGGGATTAGCGACCGGCCCCGCTCCCGCCCGGGATTAGCCGGGAAGGCGGCACAGCGTGAGGGGATGGGGCTGGCCCGCAGCTGGTCCCTGGGGCTGCCCCGGCAGCTGCACGGGAGGAGGCTGGGATGGACCACATTTAATTGCACAGATCTAATTAAAGCGACTCGTGGCTGGGGCGCAGAGTCCCCTCGGTGGCAGGGGGACAGCACTGGGTCCCTGTCCCCGTCCTCACCAGCAGATGAGCCCGGCGGTGACGGCCATCCAGGTGACGCAGCAGGAGTGGGGCTGCTTGGAGTCGGGGTCCTGGTCCCTCTTGCAGCAGCACAGGCAGATCAGGTAGATGATGAGGAAGAGGAGGTTGAGGCCGAGGCACACGGCGGCCACCAAGCCCAGGAAAAGCAGCGACTGGGAAAGGAGAAGAGGGGACAGTCAGTGCCCGTGCCCGTGACCCGCACGTGTACTCGGGATGCGGCCGCGTCCAGCGCCCCATGGGACTGTCACGAGGGGAAGAGGAAGTGTCCCTGTCCCTGTCCCCGTTCCCATCCGCATCCCCACGCGGGGCCACCGAGCCGCAGGCCGGGGTGCTGGGGGTGCAGCCGCCCCTTGTGGGGGCACCGGGACGCCGGCGTTGCCCCCCCCCTCGCCGCCTCATTTGGGGGTCCCTGCGGTCCCGGGCGCCGCGGTGGGCGCCAGGAGCGCGGGGCAGGGGCTCGGCAGGGGCACAGGCAGGGGTGACCCTGTGCCCCCCCCCGGGGCCGGGGGTGCCGGTGCGGGCTGTCCCGGCGGGGGGGCCGGGCCATGAAAGGCGCTTTGTGCGCCGTGAGATCAGAGCCGGCGCCGGGCGCCGCCGGGACCAGCGGAGCGGGGGGAGCCCGGGGCGAGCGGGGGGCGCGGGGCGGGGGTCCCGGCGCGGTACCTGCTGGTAGTCGGGGTCCTGCGGGCGGAAGGCGGAGGGCACGGGCTGCAGGCGCGGGCCGCGGTGCGGGAGCCCGTGCAGCCAGGCCGCCCACCAGGGCGCCAGGTAGTCGGCTCGGGCGGGCCCCATGGCGGGCCGGGGGCGCGGGGGGCGCCGCGCGGGGGGCGCGGGTGGCGGGCGGGGGGCGGCGGGGCCGCCACGCCGCGGGCTCTGCCCGCCCGCCCCGCACACGACACGCCCCCTACGACACGCCCCACCGACCACGCCCTGGCCCCACCCACCGACCACGCCCCGCCGGTCCCGCCCCCGGGATGGCGGAGCGGCGACAGTCCCGAGCGTCCCCCGTCCCGATCCCAGCGCACCCCGCCAGCCCCCGCTATAGGGGAACCCCTCCCTGCTATAGGGCGGCACCGCACCCCATCCTGCCCCACTGTGGGGGCACCACTGCCCGCTCCTCACTGACACAGGGGGGCACCGCACCCTATCCCCCTCTGCTGTGGGGGCAGCACGACCCAAAGCTCCCTGCCTGCCGTGGGGTCACTGCAGCCTGGCACGACCCCTCCCTGCTGTGGGGGAACCCCACGCTGTCACCTC